GAAGATGTGGACCTGCACAGACAATTTTCTGTCTTAAGCTGTAGTATCCATTTTGAACTTCAAATACAAAATTTGAAACAATTCCGGTGAATAATGTCGCCAAAAACCATCAAAATACCAAACATCGGGAGGTACCGTTATATGGGGGCTATACGAAGACGTGGACCTACATGGCCCATTTACGAACTTAACCTGCCTACTGGAAAAATAAGCACGTGTGCAAAATTTTAGCCTTCTATCTCAATTCGTTCGAAAGATAGCGTGATTACAACAGACGGACAGACAGACAGACGGAGACAGCTAAATCGATTTAGAATTTTACGCTGATCAAGAATATATATACTTTGCTGGGTCTGACATGAGTATTTCGAGAAGTTACAAACGGAATGACATAGTTAATATACCCTCCATAGTATGGTGGAGGGTATAAAAAATTGAAATTCGATTACGAAAGTCGACGTTTTCATCGATGGACATGACGTGATTTTCTCAGACCCGCGCCAAAGGTTTGGTGTAATTAAATTCTTTCGATCACTTAATCCACTTCCTCCGTTTCGAGCAGCCAGTTTTCCCTCTTACATTCAAGGCAGCTCCATTTACTTCAAGAGCTTTGCAGGGTTCTTGTTCATTTGTCCCTCTATCTTAATCACCTCTCCACTCTTGGAATCAGAGCATGAGTGGTATTATTCGTCCTTATCTATTCACTTTTTGATTTTCAAGATCCAGATAATCATTTGTAATGGGTTATTTAGGACACTAACTCTTGAGTTTTCTCTTTATACCGGCTTCCATCCTTTAGAATGTTTTCTGCTTTAGGAAACACTCTGTAGTTAAATTTCGAGCGCCTTATGCCCTATATCTACCATCATCTTGCAGTTGTCTCTCAGTCCCCAGGTAGAAGTTCATTTTCTCTATAGAGGCAAAATGTAACCTTTTTGAAGGTAACTTTTTCTTTTTCTAGCAAAGAAAGCCATTTTGAAAATTTTCTCAGAGAATAAATATTATTCTCCCACAGGACAGATTTTCATGTTTTCTATAGCGGGAATTGAATTTCTTTAGAGGTTACTTTTCTTATTTCGAACGAAATACAGAATCTTAAAAAAAATCATCTAGAAAGTAATTATCAATCGAATTTCGTTTCCAAAGTGTCTGCTGGGTTACTTAAATGGTCAGACATCAGCGCAAAAAAACTTTAAAATCATTACACTGTTTAGGATTTTTTTTTTTGTATTTTGTTTTGTCCATCTTCCACAAAAAAAAAATGTTGTACTTTTTTGTTGTAAAATATGTACTACGAAATTCTTGCCAACAGATGTGTGTGGACACCCTTGCCCTTCCTTCGGCTGGGAGAACTTTCTTATATTTTTAAATAGAAACAACATTGCACTTGACATGTTTACATTTTTTCCTGTAATGGATTCTGTTGGTAGATTTTTATTTTCATGTTTTTTCTTTTTAGTTTTGTTTTTGGTAGGCGTTGCTAGTTTTGTGTTTTTGTTTTCTTTTTTTCGCTATTGTCAATTATTGCCATAGTTGGCATATTTCTTTCTTCAGTTATGTCATGACAATAAATTTTACATTTTACTCTCGTCACCCACCCCGTTAGGAGACCAGTGCCGTCAGACGCTCTAAATTCACATTCCACTAAATGTGTCCGGGCTGTCAGTTATGTTGGAGATTGCAAAAGATTGTAGCGTGGTGATTACAATCTAGCCTGCCGGGGAGAGTAGATTACGTGATTGCTGAGGTCATGAGCCAACACATGACCTAAGCCACAAAAAATGTGGTTTAAAAGTATTTAAAAAAAATGCATTGGCATTTCTATTTTCGTAGGCTTACCTGTTTTCAGAAATGCCATTATTCCAGGTTTTGGTTGGTCTGCGTATGGGCAGCTATTGCAAAGTCATTGCTTGTTATTGAAGCTTGCAAAAAATAGTTTTACATCTAAATATTTGCTGTTCTGTTTCATTTATATTTATGGGCGCCAATAGTCGTTGAAGTTTGTATCAATTCTGAATCTGGAGAGGGATGTTCATTTATTTTTTTTAACTTACAATGCAATGCCATTGTGCAAACGTAATTTCCACTATTGCACGACATGCATCAATTATACAATCATGAGATATTTATAAATACCGTACAGATGTCATCTAGGCAATCGATTCCTGGGATTGCAATCATATCCGAGATAAACTGTATACACACATTGTTCTCCTAGTTATCCATAGAATTAGATGTACATGAAAGCTTGGAAAACAGTTTCGAAAAGCGCTTCTATCAAATTCCTCGGTGATTCCTGTACCACTGATTATTCCCGCAGAGGATACTTATCCAAAGACTAAATGGGTGCTTTTTTCCATTTTTTTACGAAACGACAATAAAATAAATTTATTTTTATAATTTCAAAATTTTCTAAACAGTTGTTTCAAAGGTTTCTATTTAAAATAGTTTTTGGAAATGGATAGAATTTTTTGTTTGAAGAAATATTGAACAAGACCAATGGCAAAATTATTACAGGTAACAGCAAGACCAGCTGATTTGACACTATTGTAATACTAGTGTCAAAATCTATATGACGTTTTGTGATTTAATTCCATTTCTTGATATACAATAGGTATACCCTTTTTTGAAATAAAATTTCGCTGCAGGGTAATATGAACATATATTTCGTCTAATAATAGAAAAAAGTCGCCGTTGTACTTAACAAAACGTTAAGGAACAGCGACACCACGTTAGATAATATATTCGTATATTTCATGTTTCCTAAAATTGCAAAATGTAGAATACTTTATGTATGTGTGCTGTTTGGTTTCAACTTGAAAATAATGTTGCCTTTTCCTCGATTGCTTGAAGTGTTGAGAGATTAGGACCAACAGCTAACAACTGTATATTTAGGGTGAATGATGTGAAAGCATTAAAAAAAATATTTTAAGAACTATTTTTCTGCATTTTCAATTTAATAATCCAAATTCCAAAAATGTATACTTTTATACCCTCCACCATACTATCGAGGGTATAATAATTATACCCTACAACACTATGTGTTGGGGGTATTATAAGTTTGATGGGTCAGAATTTATGTAACACCACGAAATATTGGTTTCCCACATAGGAAAGTATATATGGATCTTCCTAGCTCGCCGAGCTGAGTCGATCTAGCTATTTATGTCCGTCCGTCCGTCTGTCCATGTTAATTTGTAATCACTCTACAGGTCGCAATTATGGCCCGATCCTTACGAAATTTTGCACGAAGGTGGGATCAGAATAGAAGCCTATTTCTTTTGAAGATGATCGCATAATATTTAGGGGTTGAAATGGACCAAAAACTGAAAAAAAACCTGATTTTGCAATTGCTCTACAGGTCACAATTATTAACCAATCGAAGCGAAAGTTAGCATGGGGCTAGAGCTTTGGGCTGGGCAGAAACCTTCCAATTTTGATGGTCATCGGGTAATATTTAGTGGTTGAAATAGACCATAGCATTTGTGATAAATAAAAGTAAAATTTTCCATTAAACCGCGAATATTTTTAATGCCGGCGAAATCACAAATAGACGAACAGGTCAATTCTGACCGTTACGTAGATGCCGATAGTAAATATATCGGATATATATAGCGAAATATATACAATGTGTATATGCAGAGGAAGGGGATGTTATCTAGAATGCTTATATCTCAAGAATGGCTGCACCGATTTTGACAAGTTTTGTCAATTCAGAATGCCCTGTTGGCATAAAAGTATAAAATCTAAAAAAATCGCATAAAAAGATGCCAATAATGATTTTAACATAGATTTTGTAGTATTTTGTGACATTTTTTATATTTTTCATATTTTTTGTCGCATGCGATTTTTTCAATTTGACTTAAATTATTGAAGTGTATATTTTGTAATATTTTTTCAACTTACAACACCGGTTGGGGCTATTATATACAGATTGCAATTCTCGTCCGATCCTCACGAAAATTTTCACAAGGGTAGGGTTAGGCTCAGAAGAGCTATTGTTTTCAAAGAAGACCGCAATATATTTGGGGGTTGAAATGGACCAACCACTAAAAATGTTCCTGATTTTGCAACCGTTATAAGGTAGAAACCAAAGGATACGAAATCCCCCATGTAGTTAGGGTTTAGGACAGCGGGTAGAATGGACCACTACTTTTGTGTTAAAAAATACCAACATTACTTACTGGCGATATCCGAAATACACAAAAGGGGAACTTCTGGGTTTTTATGCTGATTTCGTTGATGAATAAAGCCAAATATCGTAGACAAGCAAATCATATAGATGGGTCAAAATTTATAGATGCAAACCGGCTTCTTGCTTTTGGAGATGATCGCAAAATTTTAAGGGGCTCAAATGTCCCTGGTCAAAATGGAAAGGGCAATATCTGGGCAGTGCTCCATGACAAAATTTCAAAAGCGAAATCTTCCAAAATGGACTTGGACATAAGGGTGCTTCTAACATATTGTAGTGTTGTAGAGTATCATATGTATAAAAATGGAATATTTCGGTCGACTATACCGGTATCTCACGCATATTTTACATTTTCTAAAATGTATCACATATCTCATATAAAGTAAAGGAAGTAGTCGACATAGTACAAACCTGACACGTAGCTATATTTATATCATACGTCCAATACGAAATGGACAATATTGGTCCATTCTTTCGGAATCTACACCATAGAGAGTCAACAATTTGAATAATCATAACAGAAGTCAAAATGACATCTGTCGGCAAAACAAACTGAAACTCTTTAAATTGTTTTTGATTTCTCTAAGTTCCTTCCAAATGAAAAAAATTGGCCCGTCCGAACTTAGGTGATTAAGACTGTGTCCATAGACGCAAATTTGCCCTATATCTATTCCTATTTTACGATTCCTTGACTAATAAATTAATCAAATTTTCGCTGAAGCTCACGTAAGTATTTCTAAGATCACAGAAAATAATTAAGTTAGGGTATTTTAAATTAGAAATCTAATAAAATCAGTATAGTACTTACTTTATGCGTTATTCGTCCGCCTTAAAAATATCGCCACCACCCCAATGTTATATCCTTAGAATCCTTGTTATATCCTTCTATTTGTCTATGCGGCAAAAACGGAAGTGCATTTCAGCCATAAATTGCAGTTGGCAAAAAAGAGCCGGAAGTAAACAAAGACTGCGGATAGTGTGGGAGACGTAGTCTTTTATGTTATTTTGTGTGGGGGGTTTTCGTAGTCTCCTCGTTTTGTCAAATACCAATCCTCTACAATATGGAGACGTTCTTTCGTTTCTATAAAAGGCAAATTATATTTTTCCTTTATTTTGCGGCACTACTAGACCGGTAAAAGTGAAGATGTAGCACTAAGAAATAAAAAGCACTTGAATTGAAATAACGTCGTAACTACGGACTGCGGAAAATGTGATTTTTGGCCACTGAATTTTTTCACATTTAAACTGTATTAGAGAACATATTTTGCTTTTTTCCAATTGCTTTTACATTTATTTTCTTCTTTGGCTGGGAGATTCGTTGGAAAACATATGTTTTCAGTTTACTTGTTTTGTTTTTTTTTTATGCGGAGTTAAGGAATTTTTTGTTTTGGTTACGAGATTCGCCGTTGTTTACACCACTTACATACTCTCCGAAAGATAGAGAGAAAGAGAGTAAAATTGGAGCAATGAGTATTGTTATTGCCGAAGATGAGAACACTATTTTGGGGAGCCTAATTTTGCCATTGATGTGTTGCTTTTGCTTGCTCCACAACCGCTCATTGGAGACTCTTATGACAGCTAGCACACTCTTGGGCGCATGTTAATGCTTGTTTTGACGTTTGTCGTGATGCCTGTTGGGGTTTCGCACAACCTCCCACTCCACAGTACCAACCACACACTCTTTTTTTTTCGAAAAGAAGCCACAATGAGAAATAACAACAAACATAAATACAATAGCTTTTTTAAAGGGGCCCGAGGCAGAGGGAGAGAGCAGGGGGGTTCCAGCGGCAGGATGAGGGAGCCACACCAAAGTATGCAGCTATGGACGTGAGTGAGTGAGTATGACAGCCAAAGAAACGAAGAAATCTCACAAAAAGGGAGTTGGTTTTTAAGGCAAATTAAAGACTTTTCATTTAAACAAATTTGCTCACAAATTTAAAGATACAAAGCGATTCTCCAGCTTTATTTGTAAATCATTTGCACAACACTTTAATTTATTTAAATTTCTTCTTTTGATGTTGAAAAAATCATATTTTCCTCACAAAACATTTTTAACATATTTTTATAAAATTTTCACAAATTTATTTACTTTTTAAAGCACTTTGTGGTAATTTTCTACTACCCATTCAATGTTTCATTGAAATCTTCTCTTCTTTTAGAATATTTAATCATTTAGGCAAAACAAAATAGGTAGGTATTTTCATTTACAATTTTTCTTCTTTACACTTATTTTTGATTTTTCTTCCTTCTTATTCTGGTATTTAATATTCCAGGCACACAAGCACACGTACGCACATCGAGGAGCACACACTCAGGTTAGACACGGAGAAAAAAAAACAGAACACGCACACACGACACGACTCGAATCGCACGAATACCGTCTTCACGTTTAGGCCTGTGTTTATCCCAAGATAACAGACGAAAAACTGCTCTTACTCAATAAAAAATTCACTGAACTACTACGAATGGCTGGCTGGCTGTTGGCTGTCAAACAGTTGTTGCCGTTGCCGTCGACAACGAATGCAATTGGGGCTCACCGCAACAACAAAACATCAACAGTTGTTCCCAGCCGTTTTGTGGTGATTCTCTTTCAAACGACTCTTTGGCTCTCTTCAAAAACATAGGCAAACCGTTATGCTCTCTGTTATTAACATTCTCAATGTATCCCAACATGGGGAGCACCACTGAAAATAACTGCATTGTAGCAGTTCTATTTAAAAGTATTTGTGATCTGTAAACCTTACAGCAAATCTTAATAACATATAAGAATTATGTTATTAGCAGTGTATTAAGCATGTTATGTTAAAGTATACTATTATTAAAATCTCAATGGAAATAATCTGTTATTGTCATTTCAATTGCCATTCAACAGGGTGATTCCAATGAATAAATAATAGGCAAATCAAGTTCTGATGATCAACTTCGAAACAATGGCAATTGGAATTGTAAATTTCGAAGTGATGGCCACATTCATATCTGAGAATAACTGTCGGGAATTGACAATTAATTATGATTAAACAACTAAAGGGTGTTTTTTAAGCGCGATAGAACTTGAAATTGTAAAAAATAACACAAAAAATTAAAATTTAATCAACATTTTTTTATTCGAAAGATCAGTACGTGACTTTAACATTTGAAAATGATGACTAAATATGCCGAAACATTTGTATCTTTTAAATTCGGACTTGTATTGCCCATTTGGTGCACAATTAATTTGAAATCGGATGAATCTGAACCGATCTTCACCAAATTTGACATACTAGCTTCTAGACTCAATTCGGTCGTAAGTGCCAAATTTCATCCAATATTAGAAGTTTGGTGTACAATAAAAGTAAGTCGGACGAAGTTATATATGGGAGCAACATCCAAATCTGAACCGATCTCGATAAAATTTAGCAAATGTATTTCTGAGATGTATTTGATATATTTCCCCAAATATTGTTGTTATAGAGTGCATATTCCGGCTGCGGAGGACAAAAATAGCAAATCGGATGAACAATATATATGGGAGCCCAAATTATATCTGAACCGATTTCGATCAAATTTGGCATACTTATTTTCAGGTCCAATCTGATCGTCCATACTACTAAATTCCATACTATTCGGACTGATGTTACTCGTTTGGTGCACAATAAAAAGCAAATCGGACGAAGATATATATGAGCTATATCTAAATTTTGACCGATTATCTCCAATTTCAATAGGTTTCGTCCTTAGGCCAAACAAATGATTTGTGCAAAATTTCATCTGTATAGGGCAATAAATGCGAACTGTACTTTGTTTATAAAAATACATGGACAGACGGACGGAAGTATATGGTTCTGGAAATGTGTGCTACAAGTGCACGAAAGGTACTAAATAGTACTATATTTAGTGAAATTTGACATTGGGTGAACAAATACTTGTTAAAATGTGATATTTGGTATAAGGATCGCTGTCCATGTGTAGCCCAAACATATGTAAGTAAAGTTGTAAAAAGTACTTAATGGTAATATATTTGGTCTTGGGTGTAGGGATAGAGAGGTTGAGATTTGGAGGTTGGTTTGGAATTGCATACTGCAGTTGTTCCAAAAATACTAAATTGAACTAAATTTTACGTTGAAATCACTGTTGGTATCAGGAATTTAGATATGGAATTGATTTTGTAAATGTGAACAATAATTGTCCAAAAAGTACTAAATTTGTTGTTGGGTGAAGGAATAGCACTGAAATCCTTTCCATATATATGTCACTGTTGGTGTCTGTAGTTGGGAGAAGGTGCTGGTGTTGAATATGCATGGCACACTTGTACTAAATGATATTAAATTTGCTAAGGGAGAAATTACAGAGCTAAAATCCTGAAAATCCATGTTTTGTTCTATGTAGGTATCTGAGGTTGCGATATAGAAACTTTTTTGAAAATGCGTACGTAAATTTAGTATTGGATGAAGGAAAAGAGCTTAAATCCTGAAATTTGATATGGATGTCACTGTTTGTAGTTGAGAGAAGAAAGTGGTTTTCGAAATACATACTATGAACGAACGAAAAGTGCAATGTGCCGATAGAGATGGAACTCTGAAATTTGGTATTACGGTCGCGGATATCTATGGCGGAGAGAGGGAGGTGGTATGGGACGCGAGTAGTATAGATGTACGAGAAGTATGGTAATAAATTTGAGATTGGGTCTTAGGATAGAGCTGGAATTTTGAAATTGTTTTCACGATTTTTTGGTGCAAAAAGTAACCATTTTTCGATTGACCTTCTCGATAAAGGAAAAACTTAAATATAAATAAAGTGTTATCAAACTAAAAAAAAAACAGAAAAAGTGCAATTTTGCCTCTCACCTGTCACAGAGGATAACCTGAAGATGTTAGTGAAGAAAAAAGTAGTAAAATGACAGATTGCCAAGAATTGAACAATAATATGAAAATTGCTCAAAGAAGAAAATATCAAAACCAACAAAATCCAGTTAAAAAGCTTTATGTTCGGCCGGGCTGAAATTTGAATACCCTCCACCATATGGAACGAATTTGGAAATAAAATTCTTAAACAATTCTGTTAAGATTTTAAAAATACCGAATATAGCCGTTATATTGGTGTCTATACGACATGGACCTACTTAGGCATTGTTGGTCATAAGTCATTACCAAATTCAAATTCGAAACTTGAAATAATCATTGAATAATGTAGCTAAAATCATCAAAATATCGTATATAGGAAGGTACAGTCATATCGGAGCTATGCGAAGACCTGGACCAGCATAGACAATTTTCTGTCATAGGCTGTAGCATCCATTACGACCATCAAATACGACATCTCAAACAATTTCGATGGGTATTGTACCTAAACTCGTCAAAATACCGAATATAGGGAGGCACTGGTATATGGGGCCTATACGAAGACGTGGACCTGCACAGACAATTTTCTGTCACAGATTGTAGTTCCCATGACGAACTCTAAATACGTAATTTCCGGTGAATAATGACGCTAAAATCATCAATATACGGAATATAGGAAGGCACTATTATATGGGGGCTATGCGAAGACGTGAACCTGCACAGACAATTTTCTGTCTTAGGCTTTAGTATCCATTACTAACTTCAAATGCCAAATTCGAAACAATTCCGGTTGAACATATCGCTAACATCTTCATAATAACGAATATCGGGTGGTACCATTATATAGGGGCTAGACGTGAACCTGCACAGACAATATTCTGTTTTAGGCTGTAGTATGCATTTCAAACTTCAAATGCCAAATTTGAAACAATTCCGGTGAAAAATATTGCAAACATATTCAAAATACCGAATATCGGGGGGTACCGTTATATGGAGGCTATACGACGACGTGGACCTGCACAGACAATTTTCTGTCTTAGGCTGTAGTATCCATTTCGAACTTCAAATACCAAATTTGAAACAATTCCGGTGAATAATGTCGCTAAAATCATCTAAATACCGAATATCGGAGGTACAGACAGACGGACATCGTTAAAACGACTTAGAATTTTACGCTGATCAAGAATATATATACTATGTTGGGTCTGACATGAGTATTTCGAGAAGTTACGAAAGGAATGACAAAGTTAATTACCCTCAATAGTATGATGGAGGGTATAAAAAAGAAATTTGAAAATTTCTGTCCTTAAAATATTCTTTCAAGTATATTTTATTTAATTTGAGTGCGTGTACTCTACTGAAATCTCAGGTTCACAAAACACGTCGCTCCATAAAATGACTTATGACCTAATCGTTCCTGCCAACCAATTACAACTGCTCCGTAAATCTTTGGGGAATTGCTAAGTTGGCTAAGTCATAACTTCTGTTCCAGCCATTTCACTGCTAAACAAATATCAGGAATTTACGACTCACACATGTTCAAATTAATTTCCCACACAAATACAAGAACTGAAATTTTTTCGAAAAACCCGTCACAACGTGTTTGAGGATGTGGATGGGTGTTTTAGAAGGTGTGAGACGGGAAAGTAAATGTATGAGGTTGGCTAAGTTGTAATGTCTCAAGGAGTGTAAACAGGAATTGTTAGTTGTAACATTAATACCTGATGTAAACATAGGGAAAGTGAATAGAATTTCCTTCAAACATTGGGGGTCACACCAATCACGCACCGAACATAAACAATTTGGCAACGCAGTATATGCTTGATATATGTGGACCAGAGAGACAGTGTGATAACAACCAAATAAATGTGATACACGATTTTAAAATGTTCAATAATGTATAATAATGGAAAAAGAGTAAAAGTGGAATTCCAACATTTAGTACAATCATCACTTCTCGTAGGAAGGATGCAGATTTTCATCCTTCACGGTGCATGCAAATTAAAACAATTAAAAAAGCTGTAAGTTCGGCCGGGTCGAACTTTTAATACCTTCCACCATTTGGTACAAATTTGACAATTTCCAAAAAAATAAAATTCGTTAAAAATTCTGTTAAAATATTAAAAATACCGATTGCCTATACGACGACGTGGACCTGCATAGACGACTTTTGTCATAAGTTATCACAATATTTAAATGCGAAACTTGAAGAAAAATCTGTTTGTAATGTAGCTTAAATCAACAAAATACCGAATATAGGGGGTACCGTTATGGGGGCTATACGTTATATGGGGGCACACAATTTTCTGGCATGGGCTGAAGTATCCATAACGAACTTCACATGCGAAATTTGAAACTATCCCGGTAAATAATGTCGCTAAAATCATCAAAATACCGAATATCGATGGGTACGGTATATGGAGGCTATACGAAGACGTAGACCTACATGGCTCATTTTCTGTTTTATTGTGCAGTATCTATTACGAACTTCAAATACCAAATTTGGAATGATTCCGTTAAATAATGTCGATAAAATCATTAAAATACCGAGTATCGGGGGGTACCTTTATATGGGGGCTATGTAGTATCCATTA